GGTGCTTTCATATCAAATAGAAGCCACTGGGCATGATGGCACACACATGTAATCCCAGCACTCTGAGGTGGAGGCAGGAGGATCATAAATTTAAGCTCAGCCTTGGAAGTTTAGTGATTTAGATCTTGTCTCAAAATAAATTTTTTAAAAGGGCTGGGAATGCAGCTCAGTGCAAAGGCCTTGTGTTCTATCCCTAATACCATAAAACTAAACTAAACAAAAAATTCTAGAAGCTATAGTCTACTAGCTGTAGTACACCAGTTTGTTAGAGCCTGGACAACCCAGGAAAGAAGAAAAGTGGTGACAGATAAAAAGCAGGTGCCCAGAAGACAGGGAGCTCAGAACGGTAGACCTGGGAACAGAATATGATGCCTACTCTAGACAACCTGGGCTCAAGGTGGTGGAACACCACTGAGTTCCTAGGAAAGCAAGGGCTCTCAGCTTGGTGAAGAAGAGGGACGGCAGACAGCATGGGCCATCAGCCTCCAGATCACCAGGGACGGGCTCCAGGCCAAGCAGAGCCCTGGGATGCCCAGGCCACGTGAGAGGTAGAAGATGTCAAGCTGTTGACTCCGACGGCAGCGCCGACCCAAATGAAGTCAACCAGAGAGCTCATGGGTCAGGGAGCAAGCAAGGACCTGAAGACCTAGGGACACAGGATGGATGTGTCCTGAAGAGAGGAGGGAAATGGGACAGTAGCAAGGATCAAACTAAGACAAGGGCTGCAGCGTCCAGAGTGGACGCACAGCCAGTGAGGAGCCAGCAGAGGGCTTGAGGCTCTTGGAGGAAAAACTGGTAAATTCCCGCTGTGTGGGTAAAGTGGACAAGAAAGGAGAGAGAAAGGGAAATGAGGGAAGTCAGAGGGAGGAGAGATGAGGAGAGCAGAGGGCAGAAGGAAAGGAGGTTGGGGCAGAATCACAGGCGAGTACGTTAGCGAGGCTGCTCACGGGCTGGGTAGCCTATGCCAGCCCAGGGCCAAACAGGCTTCCTTCTCAGCCTGCACACAGCCCATCGACTCCTCTTTTGTGATTCAGGTACAAGCCCCTGTCTCTCCTCCGAGCCACTGGTGAGCCGGGTGGCCTGGCGGTATCTGGTGCCCCAGGCGTGGGGAGGAGGACGGGGAGGCAGCGTCTCTTGCTGGCACCAGAAGCTGCAAACAAGCTTATCACTGCCCTTTTGTATGGGAACAATGAGCCCCAAAGAGCCCAGTCCACCAGGGAGAGGAAGTTGCGGGACAATGACCTTCCTACCCCCACTTCCTAGTCTGCATTGAAATGTGCCCATGGAAGGAACCTTGAGTCTCGAAGTCTTAGTGAGTGGCACATGCACCTGCCAGGGACCTCCCTTCCCTCCATCTGCTCCGGTCTCTGACTTGACCACAATCCCTGCGCAGCAATTCTCTGTCTCCACACCATCCATCGGGTCCTGGCTCGCTGGGCGTCCGTCACCTCCCGCTGCTACCTCCTGCCACGCACATGCGTTCCTTCCCATCTTACGCCCTCTGCGTCTGTCCTCCACCAGCTGCCGGTGTGCGCATTTCAGCTGTATATCTGGATGGGTCTGCAGGGACTGCCATAGTAAAACGCCTCAGACTGATGACTTAACCAGCAGTCATTTACTTTCTCATGCTTCTGGGGACTGGAAGTCCAAGGTCAAGGTGCCAGGAGGCTGGTTCTCTCCTGAGGCCTCTCTGTGGTTTGAAGATGGCTGTCCTCTTGCTCCATCTGTATGGCCTTCCCTGCACCCCCACACAGCCCTCATGGCTCCTCCTCTCCTTAGCAGGACACTAGTTCTATTGGGTGAGGCCCTCATGTCCATCACAATGGCATCTCTGCATCATCAGTAGCTCTGGACCTTCCTGAGATCTTATCAGCATGGTCTGCAGAATTCCCCCTGCTACACCCTTGGGCCACTCAGGCTTATCGAATACTTTATTTTTCTTATAACTTTATAATACTATATACTTGTTGTTTGCTGTCTGACTCTCTTGACTAAAATGCAAGCTCTTCGGAAGCAGAGATTTCACTGTCTCATTCATTCAGCATAGAATTCCCAGTTCCTGCCACAAGGCTTAGTACCTAGCAGGTGTTCAGTGAGTTTGTGAGGAAGGCAGGAAGCTCTCACTGCTCCCCCACTGCATTTTGCTCCATCCTTAGCCTCACAGCCTTAAAAGCCTGAGCTCACTTCAGGTGTCACCTGAGTCTAGAACACATTTCCAATCCTCTTTGTCAAGACAACGGGCTTTCTTCTCCAGTGTTCAGCTCCAGGGATTTCTCCTCCAGGTGCTTTCTCTGCAGCTCCCTGCAGGGTCAGGAGCAGGCTCAATTTGCTATATTATATTTGGGATTTTTCTGCTTATGTACTACTATATGCACTGGAGCAGGAACCCCTCAAAGGCAGGGCTCTGTTTTATCCACCTCTATATCCCCAGCACTGAGCACAGGACCTGGTTCTTTTTCTTTTATTTTTTTAGAAAGACAGGGTCTCACTATGTAGTTCCGGCTGGCTTTGAACTCACTATGTAGACCAGGCTGGCCTTGGATCACAGCAATCTTGCCTCAGCCTCTCCAGGGCTGGGGTTACATGCACATACCGCCGCGCCTGGCCAGGGGCTCCTTAAAGGGGCACCTCTTTTGGAGTTCGTAAACTTGATCTCATAGTTTATCTTCTCATTACTTTCTTTGTCTACCACGTAGTCAGCAAGCACCTACCACGGATTTTCAAAAGTAGGGGTCAGTGAATCCAAGGAGACTGTGACCTTGCATGGGAAACTATTACATTTTTATTTTATGCCCTCAAAGTGATATTCTGCATTTCCATGAATTATGAGCACAGACTCCCAACCACGGCAGTGTTAGTAGTGTTGGTGACCAATGAAAGTCACAGATGGTTTCATGTCACATTATTCTTCTAGTAGACGTAAAATGGCATCTACTCTTATCATGACCTTGAAACTACAATAGCTGTTCATTCATACTGAATCTCGTCTTCAGTATCAATGAAGAAGCACAAATGTATCGTCTCAATGTACCTGATTTCCTTTCCATTCCTCATTATTTTGTTTTAAGAACAATATTCCGAGAAAGGGCACATAGCTTCACCCAGTGGCCAGCCCTCTCCAGCTCACTACCAGGACCAAGATTAAATATCGTCTTTCATGGAGCTGCACTCCAGGGGGTGAGACAAAATAAACAAGCACACAGGTAAAACTGTAAATATTGATGTTAATAAATAAATAAACATGTACACAAGAGAACTACTATAAAAATGCATGTGGATAAGAGATACGGGATTGTGGAGTAAGGGAAGAGAGAACTGTTTTCTGGTGTGGTTGGGAAATGCTCCCAGAGAGATCATCAGGAGAAACCCAAATGAGGAGTGAGTCACAGAAAGAGTGGGGGAAGCATGATTCTGGCAGAGAGGCTGGCTGTGCAAAGGCCCTGAGGTATACCCGAGCTGAGCAAATGGTCATGTGGCTGGGGCTAGAGATGGAATAGAGAAATTAGCCTGGGTCTGTAGCTGCATAAGGACCCAGGCTTTATCCCAAGGGGAGTGAAAAATCACTGGAAATTTTAGGGAAGGAAGTGATCAATCTAATTTATAGTTTAAAAGACTGCAAACAAGGGGCTGGGGATTTAGCTCAGCAGCATAAGTGCCTGCCTTGCAAGCAGGCAGTCATGAGTTCGATCCCTGGTACCGATAAAAATGAAAAAGACCAAAAAATAAATAAATAAATAATAAAAGACTGCAGACAAGAAATGATGGAATTATTGACTAGAATGAGAGCTACAGAGAGACGGGATTGGATTAGGACTCTGTGTGTGTGTGTGTGTGTGTGTGTGTGTGTGACAATTGTACGATACATATGTAATATATATAGATTCATGAATTTATATGTTGCCTTATCAGTCCTTTTTAAAATTTAAGACAAGGTCTTGCTGAGTCACTAATTTGCCCAATCTGAGTTTAACCATGTGATTCTCCTGCCTCACCCTCCCAGAGTGCTGGGATTGCAGGCATGTACCATCACCCCCAGCTCAGAGATACATTTTGAAAATGGAGCCGATGGAATTTCTGATGGTCTGAAGGGGAATGGGCCAGGAGAAAACGATCAAGGGCAGGCAGGTACCAAGGAGGCTCGCTATTCGGGGTCTGGGCAGCCTGGTGGCTGGTGATTCTGAGGTAGAGAAGCAAGAAGAAAACTGATGGTGTGGGAGGGGCTCTCTGCTCCTGATCTTCAGCATCCAAGGCCAGACTCCTGTCAGCTGGCCCTTCAGCCCCGAACACGCACCCCTTCCTCCTCCTCCTCCTCCTCCTCCTCCTCCTCCTCCTCCTCCTCCCCCTCCTCCCCCTCCTCCTCTCCTTAAGGCCAATGCTTGGCGAGACCGCATTTTTCTGCTGGCCAAGCTCTCCTGGGAAGGCGCTGCCTCACCCTCCCAGTGCCCCTGTCCTGACACCTCCTCCCACTCCAGCCCTGAGCCCATTGCGCCCCCCTCTTCCACACAGACCTTCCCTGGCTCCCGCAGACCAGGCTCCCCCCTCCTCCTACCCCTTGCTCTCTACATCACGATGACTGGCACGTGGCCTTTCCTGCCTGTTCTGCCGCTGCCTTCCTTGCCCCTTGTCCACCGCCACTCTGAACATTGTCAGTCCTTTGGACAGGGACATCCTCTTCCCTCCCACTGCTGCACAGGGCATGGCATCCCGGGACAAATCCGTGTGCACCTCAGACACCCCCCACCCCCACCCCCTCAGGCTGTGCCCATCTTTGGGTCTGCCCACCGCCGCCGGAGCCATTGGTTTTGAAATCTTTGTTTGGCAGTCTGCCAAATTAAGCAGCTTAAAAATACAAGCTGAGTTATGAAATGTGACATTATAAAATATCTGTAAAAGCCTTGGGGTGCAGCTCAGTAGTGGAGAACATGCCTAGCACGCACAAAGTCCTGGGTTCAATCCCCAGCACAGAACAAAAAAAGAAAGAAACCTTTGAAGTTCTGAAATTCTTTTAAGGACATTCTGGAGCCATTTAATCCAGAACACTCACTATGGAGGCAGATAGTGCAAAACCAAAGGCTAGCATGATTGTAATTTCTCAGCAAGCTTTCAGGTGACCTTAGCAAGACAAAATGGCAGTTTCCTGTGACAGCCACACCTCTGCCTGCGCCACTTCCTCCTGGGAAGAGTGGGGTGGACGATTCTCCTTGTCTCCAGAGCAGCCGGTTTTATTTCCTCTCTTCAACTACAAAACAAAAATCCTGCTGATTAGTTCCACGCAGCAGTCTTTAATCACATTGTCTCATTTTCCATAAACGCTGCAACATACTTCTCACTGTTAGCATGGATTCCAATTGCCTGCCAGAGTAGAAACTTGTATAGTCACTCCCAACGACCCATTACTATTTCTGTGGTAAAGCACAACCCTAAGAATTGAATTTTACTTCTGTAAAAACAGCAGTGGGTCAGATTCCCAGCTAAGCCAGGAGCAGTTCTTGACTTGAGCAAGTCTGTAACCTCTCTGAAACTCAGCGCCCTTATTTGTAAAACAAAGACAATCCCTTCAGGGCTGGTATGCAAACAGAAAAAGGAGAGAGCTGATTAAACGGTTCTAAAGTTTAGAGAACCAAGCCTGGTATGCAACATTTGCTTAAGTGGTAGCTTTTCATATTATAAAGCAAGACTCAAACGGTAAGTGGAAGAGGTTCAACACTCTGGGGCCGCATCCAGGGAGGGGAAGGCAGCTCTCGACAGCTTAGGCTGCCGCGAACAGAGCAGGCTGGCTCCATTCCCAAAAGCTGTATTTGCTCAGTCTTTTCTTCTGCTCACCTCTGGTATCAGTTCACAGGCCCACATCTGCAGCGTGAACTGACTTGCCAGCCCCCAGGCCCATGCTGTACTTGCCAAGCAGTGCAGAGTGGATGGAAGCACGAATACGGGGGGGCCAGGGCCAGAGGGCACTGATGGGTGTGAAGGGGACCAAGCACGATTTTGCAGGCCAGATAGGTTTTTGCAGCTTACTGATTTTGGAAGCCCATTTGCAGAACTCATTTGTAGGGTCTTCCAGGAGGCCTGTCCGTAGTACAGCGCCTGGAAAAATGAAGTGGAACACTTGTTAAATCCTCCTGTGACTCAGGGCCACCAGGCAGTGCCAGGCTCTGCTCCATTGACAGTGAAGTTCTTTCCACACTTCTGCTTCTCTAGGCCTGTGGGAGACCCAAGCAGAACAGCAGCTCCCTCCCACGTTACAGACACCTGAACCGAGTGGGAGGCTGCAGAGGCCAGCGCCGCACACTAGGAGCTACACTTCATTCCCTCTTCCTCTGTGCGTTTTGCTGTCTGCCTAAAAATGAGAGATGTGGGTTTTTTTGTTTTTTGTTTTTGTTTTTTTCAGTACTAGGGATTAACCCAGGGACGCTCTTCTACTGAGCTACATCTCCAGACTCTTTTATTTATCTATTTTTATTTTGAAACAAGCTGACCTCACACTTGCACTGACAGCCTCCTGAGTTACAGGTGTGCACCTCTGTGCCTCGCCACATTCCAATTTAACATCCAAGTGGTAGATCTGCACAGTGAGCCTGATAAATGAGCGGTTTTACATTTTGAAAGATATTAATCGCCACGCCCATGCCATCAACTTCTGTTTAGAACAATGACACACTGGGTCAGTCCTATTGTCCTCACCCAAAACCCATACTGAAATTCCTGTATTCTTCTACATGGATAAGGCAGAATTCACAGAAAGGTTGCTAGACTCCTTTGATCTACCCTAGGTTTCTCCTGCAAACCATGATGCAGTCAGAACCTCAGACTTGCTGACTTTGACAAGTCCTGCTGGCTTGAACCACCTGTGTTCACATGCATGACTGTCCCACTGAGAAGTATGGACCGCCAGTGGTTAGCTATTTAACATCAGAGACAGAATTCAAATCAGAGCCTCCCGGCATATGAACATATGAATTACCACACCATCTTTGCTCTTTCTAGTTAGTGAACCAGGCTTGAACCTCCACTTGATCTACTAGTTGTTTGATCTTGAGCAAAAACCTGTCTCCCAGCCTTCGTGTCACCATCTGGGAGTGTTATCTCTTTCACAAGGTGGCTATAAACTTTATTTCCTTGACTCTAAGATGTACCAATATTGAACTAAGAAAGAAAAAAATGCTATCAATTAGACTATGACAAGGCTTGCTTATCTCTTAGAGTAGGAGTTGGCCAAATATCAACCCCTATTCTACTCTCCAATGGCCCTTAAGAATGGCTTTTATATTTGTAAATGGCTCAGGAAAACTCAGTAAAACAATAATACTTCATGGGACATGAAAATTACATAAAACTGAAATCTCATTGTCCACCAATCCACTCATATCGGCACACTACCCTACTCTGTCCTTATGTACCATCTGCGGAGATTTTTTATTTCCACAGTTGAACTGGGTCATCAACACAGGATCATCTGGTGCACTGTTACGGTTTGTGTCTAGATTCCCCCTAGAGCCTCCTACAGTTGTATGCAGGGCTTTTTAGAGGCGGCTGGATTTAGAGTTTGTAACAATGAAATTGATTCTTGGTGTAATGCTAGGATCAAAAGCGCAAGGATTAAGGGTGTGAGTGCTACCTACCCTAAGGAGCCTGGATAAAATCTAAGGGGTAGAAAGAGCCGTGGTCGTATCTTGCTGCTCTGCCACCATGAAAAATTTCTCCTCTGCAGCGCCTGTCTGCCATCCACCCTGCCTTGCAGCCAGCCAATTAAGAACTGAAACCTCTACAAACTGTGAACTGAAAATAAACCGTTCCTTCTTTAACTTAGGGTGTGAGTATTTTACCTTAGCAATGAGAGAAAAATAACTAAAACATTCACACAACCCAAGGTATACACTCTCTGGTCCTTTATAGAAAAATATTGTCAATCCGTGGCTTAGTATATTTATTTTAGACTTAGAAAAAGAACTCCTTTAGATTCATTTGGACACAGAAGGTTTTCATCCTATCTCACTCATATATTCTTGATAAAAGGTGAAATATAAGTGAATGAAACTGGCTAAGGAATTCCCAGGTCTTCTCATTTAAAACCTCACTCTTTTCTATCACCATTTGCACTAAGGGTTGTCATATCTTGTTTTCCCTTAAACATTGCCCTCTGTGCCTGCTGGAGATGAGGAATTTCTTAAGAGCCTCATCCTAGGAGTGATGGGGCTCTTCTTAGAGGAGTGCCTCTCTGTCCTCTCTGCGATTCTGATTCAGGCTGTACACCCTAAAGTTCCTGATGTCACATGCAGGTAGTGCTCTCTGCATCCGGTCATGTACCTGAGAGCAAGATAAAATCACACCTATGTTTTAAAAGACAACATGGGCATGTGTTGGGAGAAGGTGCATATTAGAATCTAGGAAATACAAGTCTCCATGCATTCCTTGCATAAAGGAGTATTTGGTACACAGAAGTGTCCCAAGCCCATTTTTACTGTATCTACATCTTCACTTACAGAGAGATGTTGGTGAGATTCTTTGGCCGCAAACCACAAAAACAGAGGCTTCAATTGTCTTGAAATCTTTCAAGGGGCTAATGGACTACATCACCAGCCAAAGAGGGAAAAGATAGCAACCAGATTAGCTACTGGGCCGAAATCATGGGAACTAAAGGGATGTTTTGTTGAAGAGTTATCCACCCATTTGTTCAGACTTGATTCAAGTCAGAGAGCAGCAAACAGCTTTGAGGAGCATTTTATCTTGACGGAGCGGTGAGTAAGTGGAGGGAAGAGCGATACAAGGGAGAGAATGGGTGCCAGTAGAGGCTGCCAGGAGAGGGTGCTGCCTGAGGAGGCTCTGGAGAACCTACAGAGCAACACTGGAGCTGATGTGGTGCCCAGCTGCAGTTCCAGCACTGGAGGCTGGGGGCTGAGGGCTGAGGCGAGAGGATCACAAATCTGAACCCACCCAGAGCACCGTTAGCAATTTAACAAGAACTTTACTCAAAAAATAAATAAATAAAAAGGTTGCAGAGGAGCTGGGGCAAAGGCTCTCCGTTCATTCTCTAGCATTATCAGAAAGAAAGAGAGAGAGAGAGAGAGAGAGAGAGAGAGAGAGAGAGAGAGAGAGAGAGAGAGAGAGAGAGAGAGAAAGAAAGAAAGAAAGAAAAAGAAAGAAAGAAAGAAAGAAAGAAAGAAAGAAAGAAAGAAAGAAAGAAAGGGAAAAAAGAAAGAAAGGAAGAAAGAAAGCAAAGAAACTTGGCTGCAAAAGTGGAATTTGTCAATAAATAAGATCACATACATTCAGCATCACAGAGCTCCATGCAGTACTCTCCAGGTATCAGGGAATCCCTCAACTTAGGCACATTTCATGCCGAGGAAAGCTGGAAAGGTGTGCTCCTGGTCATGGCTCCAAGGTTGTCCCTGAACCTTATGACTGAATAAGACAGTCACCCTTGCTCCTAAAACACTTTGTTTCCTTGTCACTTTGTACATTATACCAGTTCTGTTGCTCAACCTGGCTCACTCACTGTATTAGTCAGGGTTCTTCAGATAAACAGGATCACACAATTATGGAAGCTGGCAAGTCTAAAGTCTTCGGGGTGGGCTGGCAGGCAGGCGATGCGAAAAAAAGACTTCATTTTTGCAGTTCACATCCAAAAGCTGTCAACTACAGAATTCCTCTTGTTTGGAGGAGGTCAGGCTCTTGTTCATTCAAGCCTTCAACTGATTGCCTGGGGTCTACCTACACTACAGAGGACAACCTGTATTTCTCAAAGTCTACTGATTTAAATGTTAATCTCATGCAAAAATCACCTTTCCTGAAATATCCAGAATAATGTTTGGCCAACATATCTGGGCACCTGACATACAATTAACCATTGTGTTCACTTGAGATGAGAACTTATCTAAGGACAGCAAATGCAAGACTCTTCACTTTTGTCCTCTGGTAATTACTAGCTCCATACATGTTGACTGAAAAACATAAATAAGACAAATATGTGCTGTGTATCAGATCAGGGGTTCAGACATCTGCCTCCAGGCTTCAGAGCAGTAGGGCTCTGGGCTCTGGGCTTTAATAGAACTCCAAGAAATCTTCACATAGAAAGAAGGCTGGACCTGGCCTCTGAAGTGATCTGTGACACAGAGAGGTGGAAAGTGTCCATTCCTGCAGGAAGAATGGCACCTATTCAGTGCCTGGTCAGGATGCCTGCAAGGATAGTGTGCTGTGTGAATAGGACCCAGGGGAGGCTCAGGGACAGGGAGACCTGGGCATATGGAAGGTCAGCTTCTGGAATGCCAGCCTGTAGGCTGGAAAAAGTCCTGTTTTTACAAACACAATCTTGTCCAAAACTCTAGAAGGTCTGTTTGATTATCCTGGCCTCAGCTTGTCTTAAGCGAAGAGTGGCCGGTTTGTTGGGTGGACCTCCAGGTACTTGTCTCATTATCCCTCCAGATGGTTCTCATCTTCAGACCCGATTTATGAAGCTAAATGAGGAGTGTACAGAGAATAGGCCCCTGGGAAAGAGCCCTCCCCCCAGGGCAGGAAGTTGCTGGGATGCCCAGCGGGCAGCCAGCCTGCTTGGAGGTAGAAAGCAGCCCAGAATTTCCAAGGAGAGAGCCAAGTATTAGCAGTCCTCAAAGCGCCTCTTCTAACCTTTGGGGCAGCCAGGGAGCTCAGTGCCAGGCACAACACCAACAAAGTGACCCAGAGGAACATTGGACTCAACACTAGGCCCTACGGGTCTGCCCCCGAGTCAGCCACAGCACTAACAAAGTGACAGCAGGAAGAAAGTGGCACAGTTCAGGAGGGAGTGTGGAAGTCGCATCCGCTGACTCCACAGTGGGCAGCTCTGCAGGTCGGGGACAGGGACTCAGCTCGATTCTGTGAACAGCTGCTTTGTGCCACTTTGGGTTTTGCTGATTCAGCATAGGTGCTGATACTCACTGGCTATTTAGGGAAAGCTGATTTTCAAGTGAAGAGTTCTCTCCCATACAATGCTATACTCACTGATCCTGCTCCCTTGAGAATGGATTACACTAATTTAAAACGGTTGTCCTTCTGTCTTTATTTTCGTTCACTGCTGAAACAAGATACCTGACACCTTAAGGTAAAGAATGAAAGGTTTATTTAGCTCACAATTTGAGAGGTTTCAGTAAATAATCAGCTGGCTCCAAGACATGGTGGCACATGACAGAGAAGCAACTTTTCTTGATAGCAGAAGACACTTTCTGTCCCTTACACTGTATGCAAGCTACTCACCCTAGGAGCAGATGTAGCACTAGTACCCTTAATCCCAGCATTGGGCTATGCAATCACAAACTTTAGATTCAATCACCTCCTAAAAGCCCATTCCCCATGACTACATGAGGCTTTGGGGGACATCTAGACATAAACTATAACATTTTCCAGTGAAGAAATACTATATTAGGTCTTTCTGTGTCAGGCAAATGCAGCTTGAATTTATGGAAGCTGGAGTCACCAGGTGAACAGCGTCTTAGGTCTGGAAAGCCAGATTCAGCAGAACAATAGGGAAGAAGCAACACTTTATAAACCAGACTCTGTTAAAAGCCATAGAACACCAGCCCATCTCAGCCTGGCCATCCACGTGTGACAGCCCGGCAGCTGCCCTAGCTCGAGGAACTCAGTGGTTACCCATGAGCTATGCCACAGACATGGCTCTGGGGACCCTGCAGTGCTTATACCCAGTGTCACCTCCTTTTTGGCCAGCAACAGTGAGTTGAAGGTTGACAGAGAAGAGGATCAAAAGGCCCTTGACTTCCAGGAAAATGGCAGAGTGGTGAGCAGCAGCAGAGAAAGAACCTGTCCAAATTTTGGTATCCAGATCCTGGATACAGCAACATGAGGAAGAAAAGGAGGAGAGAGGTGGGTCCCAAGGACACAGGAAGGATCTGAATTGAGGCTTGAAGACCATGGGAAGAGATAATTCTGGAAATGAAGAAAAATAAGAAAACCGGAGGTGATGGCCGTGCTGGATGGGGAGAAACAGCAAAGAAGCAAGACAGCCCCCACCCACCATGCGCTGGTGGGGACCCTGGCAGCCAGGGAGAAACAGGAAGGAAGCCACCTCCACCTCCCACACACACATGCGCACACACACACACACACGCACACACACACCAGAAGTGACTCAGGCTGAGAGGATAATAACTGAAGTAGGGGAGCAACCTGACATTTATGCTGTTTGACTGACTTTGCAGGCCTGGGGCCAGTAGTCTACGCAGCTATTTAGAGAATAACCATATGCAATATAGTCATGATTGTGGATTTCCTACTGTCCTGTCACTGTTTTTTTTTGTTGTTGTTGTTGTTGGTTTGTTTTTCTATTCTGTGTAACTCTTTTTAAAATAAAAAAAAAAATTAAAAAGCCATAGAACTCTTCTCTCTGGCCTCATGAGATCTCTCCCTAAACACATTTCTATTTCTGGTAATTCTGATGATTCCACTCCAATATTTTAATCCGTATTTAATGAGAACCTACTGTATGTCTTATACCTCAGTGGTAGACGTTGTGATATATGAGTGACCCATCAGTGGAAACTCCTGACTTATCAGAGCTTGCATTTTAGCTGGAGGTGAGAGCTGGACAGACAGATAACACGCATATCGTAATGTGAGTGAATTTTAGAGTGTGGTAAAAGGAGATGAGTATTACGGGGGAATATACTGAGTGCTGTGGGAATACAGAGGATGGGGAATTTGAGGGCAAATTGGGGTAGTGAATAGATTGGCAGTTGCATATGCAGAAATGTGAGTCTCAGAACTGAGCAAGGTAGTTGGCCAGGGTTTTCTTCTGGACTGTAAAACTCACTTGCCTGGAGGACAAGCTTCCCAGACCCACTGGGGCTGGGAAGTGTGAGGCTATGCTGTCCATCAGCTGCTCCTCCTGGCCGGCCTGCCTGCCTGCCTCTGTCCCTCTCCTGCCAACCTCAGTCCTCATTGTGGTGTGATGCCTCGCCCACATTTTCCCTGTTCCCACTCTCTTTTCTCTAGCTGAAGTTGCTCTTAAGAATTCTCTTGCCCACCTAAGCCCATCTCGTCATCTGCTTCTTGGGGGACCCAATGATCAATCTTGCTAGGCCTCACCAAGGAAGCTCTCAGAGGTAGAGCAAGCATGGAGTAGAGGCTCAGCCAAGTGACTTGTGCCACGTTTCTCTGGTGGGTTGGAAGCCATTGAAGGGCTTCTCTGTTATGCATTGCAAGCTCTTGTCTTCACCTTGCAATGTCTCCTGCATTTAACTCCTTGGTGCCTATCCTGGTGTCATATTCTATTTAAGGTCTTATTACATAACATTCGCCAGCACACTGTGCAACCCATGCTGTTGATACTGGATCCTATGGAGTCCTGCAGCTTGCTCCCTCCATTTCTTCCTCCCCTCAATTACACATCATTCTACCTAGGATTCAATGTGCCATAGGAGCAGCTTAAGGACCCCAACAGGACATGTTCAACATAGGCTCTGAGAGAAGGTCACTAGGAACTCCCTGCAGACCAACCCCGCCTTTGATCACCACCCTTGACCACCAGCTTGGGATCCAGCTGACCATTCTGTCTTTACCACTGCACTCTATCCCCACAGACGCCCTCTAGCCCAGGCAGACCCAACGTGGTATCCTCTATATATTCTACCCACACCTCCCTTTCCAGGGCTTTATTCTAGCTGGTCTCCGGGAAGCCTTTCCCCAGAGGCCAGGGCTCTGCAGGACACACTCTGGGCTCAGCTTCCCTCTCTGTGTTGTCGTTTCCCATCTATAAAGGGAAACCACGACTCTTCATACTGAGTGTGTATTACTAGTGTTATCAGAAGCAGGAAAGCACAAGCACTGGGCATGCTGCTAAGCACTGCAGGGCCTGGACAATCTGCCCCCTCCCTGGGCTACAGTTTTCCTTCCTCTACAATGAGGAGAGTAGCATCCATTATACCAGGCTGTCACCCAGATGAAGTGAATTAATAAAGCATGACCTAAGTACTCTGTATTCATTGGCCAGCATTATTAATCCTATTCTCTGTCCCTGTTGCTGCTATTGAAACCAAGGGCCAGTTTAAATGTCATCCCAGCAGACCCTTACTAAGCACCTTCTCTTCTATGCTGCTTGTTGGTTGTACATTTTTATTTTAAAATAGTTTCAAATTCACAGTTCAAAAAAGCTTAGAGGACCTTTGAATCCCTTTGCCTATTTTCACACTCATAAAGTTTGCCATTTTGTGCTCTGGCTCTGGCTCTCTCTCTCTCTCTCTCTCTCTCTCTCTCTCTCTCTCCATGTCTCTCTTTCTTTTTCACTCTCAATTGCACATATCATGGCTCTTAACTCTTTATCCATCCATTGAAGTTTCTAAAAAGCAAGGATATTCTCTTAGTTCACCACAGTACAATTGTCAAGTTTAAGAAAATAATATTG